CACAATAAAGAAGAACGACTTGATCGCTGGGCAGAGTATTTTAGTGAACAGTTCAATTGACCCAGTGCTAATGCGGTCATTGCAGCAATTGCGACGAAAACTCCATGGGTGGTAACATGTGAGCCCCCATCAGAATTGAAAGTACGAAGCTGCATTCAATCATTACACAAAATGAAGGCTTTTGTGATTATCGGAACTGAACTAATCCCACAGTGGTTAGCGTAGTTATTGCGTGATCCCTTCCTAAAGACCGTGACGATCAACGATTCACCCCAGGACAAACGGATACGCTCCTCCGTCCAAATGCTGCGAAGTAAGCTTGTAATCGAGTCGACAAGAGAATCACCATTCATCTTGAAAATAATAGAGAAAAGCCCGAAACGAACGGGTACAAGTAGAACACTGCCACTTCACAAGCACTGATGATTTCACCTCGGCTGGTGATGAAACGTTTGCAAACAAATTACCAAGCTCGGTAAACAGGCGAAATGAAATTCAGTTCACCCGAGCTACGAGAACCGAATTTCAATATTTTGTCAAGAGAGAAGCCCATCAGGTCCTGCAGCCTTCCGTTTCTTTGATGATTCTGAGGGGGTTTACATGTTACCACCCATGGAGTTTTCGTCGCAATTGCTGCAATGACCGCATTAGCACTGGGTCAATTGAACTGTTCACTAAAATACTCTGCCCAGCGATCAAGTCGTTCTTCTTTATTGTGGATACGCTGTCCACTTTTATCGCAAATGGTCTCACTGACCGGTATGCGACGACCTCCGGTGCTGCGTATCAGGTGAAATACTCTTTGACCATTCTGTGATGCAGAAGCTACCTATATTTCACTAGGTATTTTGGCCCACCAGTTCTCGCGATCTTTCTTGAGGCTTTTCCTGGGTTGACGTTACTGGTATGAGAACTAGTGCATGGTCCGACTCAACGCAGGTGGTTCAATAGTATCTTCAATTTTGTACTAGAGCACGCCAGCGGTAGCTTGCAGCTATGTGATCAACTGAGACAAACAATTGAGTTCGGTTGCTGTACTTCATAGGACGTGATCTAATGACTACAGACGGTGACATGGAAAAATATTGACAATCGGCCGTTTCTGTATCAGTGTTTAGATACCTGGTCGTTTAATATCTGGTTCATCCGTGATACTTTATCCGACCTTCATGAGGTTCCAGTAGTTGAACGTTGCTGATCCTCTCACGTTTTCCGCTTACAAGAATCAGGTTTCGTAGTCACAGGCCATCAATTTGGAAGACTGAAAAGTAGTTTTATGCACAAGCTTATCTTTGTTCGTGCTTTTATTGTTTTGAGGAACATAAAAACTACCAACTAGAACCAGTTTGCAACTATACCTACTTTGGCTAAACAATAAAGAAGAAAATAAAGAGGACATTCAGAAAACTTTCGTTCACATCCTTTAGGGAAAAGCGGCCGTAGAGTTTAGAGCGGTTGACTGAGTCGAAGACCGGTTTCTGTTCGAGGAAGACAAATGGTGGATCTACGAAAATAATGTCGGTTTTCTAGAATTTTGTAAAAGGTGAAAATTTGGTCAATACAACCGCGACCAGGACTAAAACCGGTCTGGTTCTGGTGCGCGCATCGTTCACGTGCGGCAGACGATCGACGGAGTATAAAGCCAGCAAGAAGTTTGGAAACGATATTGAATGAACTAATTGTTCATTGCTTAAAGTATCAAGTTTAAATTAGCCCATTCCATTGTTCAGAGGCACCAGGCGCTCTTGATGGTCTTGGTTGTGGGTTTCACTCCTTGGGAGGTCTGTGATTCCCACTAGATGAATGCAATTAAACGCGATGGAAATATTTGCGGTTACCGTCCTGCTTGGGACTCGTCAGCAGCGCGTACCCTTTGTGTCCCCGTCAGGATTCGAACAGCGAACATTCGGGTTAGGACTTCGAACTCTTACTCCTGAGCTACAAAGTCGACGGCCGTCAGCTTTTGCGAATAGCTCAATCAATTTAGAGTATTAATTTTGGATTAGCCCGTTCGATTGTTAAGAGTCACCGGGCTTTGGTTTCCACAAGAGGATCTGTCACCTTGTAAATCGATAAGATGACCGATTCACACTTCAGTTGGAACCTGTTCGCTCTCTCCTGCTAAATCTAGGCGTTTTGTCAACTCCAAGACCAATGTTGAACTTCGTCCTCAGAACTCAATGGGGAAAGGTTAACTGGACACTAGGTCCTTTGAGATAGTTTACTTCTCGTTTCAGATAGAGGAGCTGCATGAGCTGGGCGTCTTTGCCCAGTTAGAAGCCTGGATTTTGATGTCTAGCGCCGATGTGGGGTAGTTGAACTGTGCCACTTAAGACATTATTATCATTTTAACACTAATCTTTACAGATACGACGCCAAAATAACCAAGGGTTAACGAAAAATATGGGAAGAAAAGCGAAAAACAGTCAACTCAGGAAAATAACAGTTTTTTTGTTTACTTTGAGTTTTTCCTCGTTCGTGGCAACCTAGGTCGAGAAAATGCATTTGTTGTGCTTTGATCCTGCTGCAGAATCCGCTGTCTTATTTTATCTACCTTTAGCTTCCTGGATTAGTGTCCGGTGTCCACTGAGTCCTCCGGTTGATAGTTACACTGAGAGGGGATGAGAGAGCTCGCTTATACTGTCTTGTAGGCATCCGTTTCAGGTCGCTTTTTATGTTTATTTACCAGCTGTAGAAAGAATCTGACGCGTGGCAGAGCATGGTCCGTGTCCACGGTTGCTGATAAATAAAGCGCCATTCTTGGATGGATCGTCACCAGCGGTAGCTACTGGCTATGTGGTCGATTTGGGTCCATCGCTGAGAAAAATTGTGGATTTCCGTGTAAGACAGTGTCTTTTCTTGTTCGAGAAGTTGGAAACAATCCGTGGTCAGTACAAATTTGAAGTAATCAATCTCCGTTGTCCATCCATTTGGCTGGGATTGCATATGAGCCACCTAGAAGTTCGTCCAGTGGTCTCACATGAGCACTGAAGTCACCAGCCACTATTACAAGGTCCGCTGACCCAGCACTTTAGAGCGGTTGAGAAAGGTCCTTGTCCGATTCATCCTTCATTTGAGGCCTGCTGCAATCAGTCTATGCGTACACGTATACGATGAATGACCACCGACATTTCGTTCTGTTATTCTTGATCCTTAGTGATTCAGCTTGTTGGTCGCTCTGACAGACTGTACGGACTTGAAATGCGCCTAAGTGAAATATTGTTCCGTTATATATTATAATATTATTGAGACGCTTGGTCAAACGGGGGCATTTCGTTAAGAGAATGACGCCCAATCACAACCCGAGACATCCACTCCCGACCAGACTGAGGCTTTTCAAGGCTAATTGAAAAGATTTTGGTTTCAACAATCCAATAGCTTCTGCTTGTTGTTTGACTTTACTAGTTCAACGCTAAGTAGTATCCTGTGAGTGGCAAGAGCAGAAGGAAGAACGAGACAGGTAAGAAAGAGAGTTTTCCAAATGGGTGCCTAAGACTTTAGAGCAAAACATACTTACATACTGATGAAGAGTTTTTTCTGACTGTAGCCTTTGATTCAAAACTTTGACCCTCAAGGCAATGAAGTATCTATCCAACGAAGGAGCATGAACGGAACACCCATGTGGGAGCTTCTAGAAACCTGTCACGCAAGGTCATTGGGTTTCGGTTCAGTGTGTTGTTCGCTGATACATTGATTGACGGTCCACTGTTCGCGATTGGCCCTTCGAACCATACATTCAATGAGGCAGGTGGAACGTAGACGGGACAGCACCTCATTGGTTGGGGGCTTCCCAACCTAGGCGGGCGGTAGCAGTCTAATGAAGTGGGAAGACTTCTCGCATCTTCGGGAGGTAGCCCTAGGTACCCCACTTCTACGTCCATCTAGAGGAGTTTTTCAATTGGCCTTTTTATCTATTATTTTATTGAACACATTTTTGCGCGATGAACAACAGTCACGTGGACCTGCTATTCCATGTTGCAAACCGGAAACTTAATCTCCGGGAATGGCAAGCCACATGAAGCTTCATTAGACTAGGCGTGGCATTGAACCAAACGACTGCAAAGCTGTCTGAGTTAGAAATGCCACCGGAGATCAGCTAAGTATGTAGGTTCGCACAGTCAATTCGGATTTAGGTAGCTCAGGTCTCTAGGCGATTTCCGGGGGGCTCACCAACTGTATTTCCCGGTTCACCAATTTCGCCACAGATCACAGCGCGTTGTATTGTATTGTGTATAACTTGTGCAAGCACTGAGTAGCCTCACAGACAATAGTCACATAAAAATAATTCTCAGTATAGAAAAAACGTTTGGTGGTATAGTAAAGTTTTCGTGGTTTAGCCAGAGAATCCGCTCGCTAGATACAGTCCAAAGCCTTAGATATAACCAGCGACACTGTGCGCGGTTTTCATTGATTGTCGAATGGTTTCTATGAGTGAAGTTTGCTTCACTGCGTCTCGCTGTGCGATAATGATTATGATAATAACTGTTCTTACCTTGAAGTAATCAGTGGACATGATCGTTTCCATTTTTGCCTGTCTTTCTAGTATCAAGTGGCCATTTGACGAGTTTTTAACGGTGAATCATTGTTATGCCGGTTGTATATCGTCGTTATTTTCCGTATCACTACCGATGTCATGCTCCTAGATACCGCGATGGGTTTTCGTTTACCTCTTTTTGAATTGCTACCTGTCCTCATCAGTTGCTTGTCTGCTTTCAGTGCATCACGCTATCGTAACGCGATGGAAGAAGATGACGATTGGCGGCAGTGTGCGGAGTGGCTCAATCGCTGCCAAATAATTCCTGATGGCCATCCGGCTTTGGGTCCCTCGGGGAACGCGTTGCATCTTGTCCAGGCCTTGATGGACGGTGTGGCCTTGTGCCATGTGTTGAGCACATTGTCTTGCGGCGAGATCGATATTCGGTCTATGAAAGATTTTAGCCCCAGCCCGCAAAATTCGCAGTTTCTATGCTGTCAAAATATCCGATTATTTACACAGTTATGCGAGAAAGAGTTTGACATTCCAAAACCGTTTTTGGTTCAGCCGAATGACATTTATCAGGCAAAGAACTTTGGAAAAGCAATTGCCCTACTCTCCAAGTTGTCACTTTCTCCACGGGCTCAGTTATCTGGGATCACGTAAGTGCGCAGCTATTCTTCATTACCCCGTCCAGCGGATTTCCTCCAGACAACTCGCAACTTCAATCAGCTCACGAGTACTACAATAACCTCGAGGAAATTGCGGCCACATTGTAAGCTTTGACTATTTCTCATGTACTTTCCTTTGCTCTCGCAGGGATAAGTTGCCCGAACCCAGCCGTACAAATTATGCTCAGATGGAAGAGGAAACGAAAGAAAAATTGTACGACACGGTGGTTCACCAGGGCACCAAATCTGTCTACGTAAGATCTGGGCTTCTCATCTGATTCACCGCTGATATTTGTTTTTGTAGAATGCCAGTTCCGAATCGACCACCGCACGGAGCAGTTGTATTCGGGAGATTGTGGACACGGAAAAGAACTATGTGGAACTGTTGAAAATGCTACTGGAGAAGTATAAAATCCCGCTGACTGGGGTACTTTCCCCGGAGGAACTGGAGGAAGTGATGAAATATATTGACGTGAGTTCGACCTGTTCACCGTTCAGAACAAACCGTTCTGGCGTCCAATATGATATGAATCTTCGCAAATCAATATGCTGTCCCTGTTCTCTCCATCAGATGATGTGCACAGAAGTGCAAATTAAACGGTGGTAAAAGCTGGGAACAACTTTATTCACTGCTAATCTTATCCATTGAAATTGAGTCATCACCAATTCTTTTCACAAGGCATTAATGGAAAAAATCTATTTCATCATCATCGTACGGTGAAGTTCAGGGAAGAGAACTTCACTGATCGCTGCCAAACTCGCAAGGCGTATGCATTGGAGTTTAATGGACGGGCACTGCTGCTGGGGTGTCCAGTCACTAAGCAGGGTTTTCAACCAAAGCCTTTAGTTCTGACAGAACCTAGCCGCAAGGCAGCGGGCGAGGCGAAGTGGAGGCACATTAACTTGGATCAATTACTCCTCCACCATTTTTTACCGACTGAAACCCATATTATAGTTGAACCCCCAACCTTGAGGACTAGGGGAATGGACTTCGTTCGACCTCTACCCTTCGACATGCCAGGCATGATAAGACAAGAGCCATCCTGTGTAGCTCGTTGGGTCAGAGAGGTGCAGAAGCCATCACAGCAGTTCATGGTGCAGTCTCATTGTGATGACAGGAAAGGAAGCGAACTAAAAACTGGGGAGCATGATACACAACCTTGTCGACCTGGTCGAGTCTTATGGGCAGTGCGAATGCGCGGAACGCAGGGTGTCATCAGGATAATTACTACTCACTCGGCCACCGGGAACTCGGTCAGGCTGTCTTCACAACTCCGGTGGTTCGATGCTGACGATCGGTTTGCAAAGGTTGGGGTTGTGCTCTATCTTGCATAGACTAAATGAGGAACAGCCAGATCGACTGCCTGGTGATCCAGTGGGCAATCCAGTTGAGCTGCCTCTGTGAGTTCCGGGTGTTATAACTGTACGCCCCCGATTAGGAAGAACACAAGTCACTGAGATGGAACGAACGGGCTGACTGTAATTATGTGAACATGATTTACAGGGTCAATGTGTGAAATACAAATCGATAGTAATCATTAGGCCTGGTGATACTGGTCAGGCCGATAGCGAGACCGACCAGTCACGTGACACTCGATGCGAGCAAGCTGTGGCTGGATTTGAGCTCTCATCAAACCGGGCTTCTCACTTCTGCTGTGATCGAAACAGTACCGGTTTCAGTGGTGCTTCCTAGTTTTTCATTCCACGTTTCCTTTGCTCCGCGTACGGGCATCAATTCCGGTCACTGCATATAACTCAAATGTCACTGTTGAAACAGACAGCCGGACACTCACACTCACCGACTTGCCTGAAAAATGGGAATCCCCATTCTACCGCCTCCACCCCCCTTGTTTGTCAAATGTCTTGCTGGATCAGCGAGGAGACGTGATAAATTGCCCAGGCTTATCGGTTGCATAGTCAAAAGTAGAGAGGTTAGAAGTTAGAACATTGCGTACGTGCATGCACAGCATGTGGACGGACTTAGTTGCTAGCAAGGATCAATCCTCAGTTCCCGTACAAAATGTTCACACTCATTCATGAATGTGTCTGACATGTATTACAGTGTGTGAAATATCCGAATGGTAAACAATCCATCGGAAACAATTTTTACAAATGTGTTATGGTGTACCATTAAAGTCATAATTTTCAAAAAAATGGAAACACGATGCGAGAATCATTTTTTTCTTGATGTCATAAGTGAACGAATCCCTATTTGTTCCCAAGCTTATCACTAAGGGGTAGGCAGCTCTGTCATCCGGTTCAGTACCACGCCTAACCTAACCGGGGCTTATGTGGTTCACCACTCTAATTCCGGCAGAGCTTAGATTACCGGTTTCTATCACTGAACAACAGGTCCTTGTGACCATGAGGCTTTCCGTGTTTGCTGTTCATCACAAGAAAGTGTTTTGTAAAAAGCAAACAACACAATCCGGTGATCGGGCTGTGTACATCCCCTGCGAGTTGACTATAGTAGGTTATATGTCAGTTCTTCATCGCTACACTGCGCATTCAACTTCCTTTGTCCCTATTCTTGAAGATGAGTATTTTTATTATTAGTATTATTAAATTTCGTTCACGTCTTAGTTCAGACTATGTGCCGAACAAATCACGGCACAATAATCTTTGCTACAAACAGATCTGTCCATCTTGTGCTCCTAGACAGAATGCCGCCAAGCAGGTGAATTTTCTAGGGGAAGTCATAACCGAAACATTCGGCTAGCCAAATCTTGACCCATAAGACAAAACGATCGTTTTTTTAGGGGGAGGGTCCGGTGTCCAGTTCATCGGATCATATGCCCCGTCGGACGGGGTCAAACGTCCAAAATGCCCAATGGAGCCGGTGACGATTGCTATAGCTAGGAACCTGTGGGTGGGTATAGTTTGTACGTTTCTTCTATGTTGATTTGGAATCAGAGTTTTTAGCCAGCTCTCCCGGGGTGAACATCCAGTGGTTCACCAATACGGATGTTGACTTTTCGTCCTCTGGTTTTAGCGGGAAAACACCTCTGCCACTAAAAGGCAGTGAATAAGGCCTCTGCGTTAAAACTGATCGTACCGTCTTGTACGACCGGACCTGTTTTAAGCGTTTTTAAGCTCTATGTATATAGCTTTTCCGACAGGGAAATAAAAATGCTAAGTGAAAGTTCTAGAACCATAATTAAAGTTTTAAATATGCAGTTTTATTGAAATTCACTCTAGAACGCTAACCATATTGATAAAAATCTTTGTTAAGTAAAGAAGGACCATAGAAATTTGTATAAAAATATACGTGGAGGTAAACGACAATGAGCTGATCTAGTTGATCTATGAGAACGACTGCCTGGTGGGTCAAACTTTTGAGTCCAAAGCTCCGGTCCTAAAGAAAAACCCCTTCGTCGGTGTGAGCTACCGCGAAGTATGCCGTGCCCCAAAGTCTTGGGTACCCATTTTGAAAACTGAAACTTCATCCGGGACCTTGTCAGATGGCACAGTATCTTTGCCGTGCATAGTGACTGCTATTTGTGCTATATGCGGCTCTCTACTCAACTGTGTGATAAGCATAGTCCTGGGGAACTGTTGGTGCTGTTTGTACCACAGTGTGTATTGATTCGCTGTGTTTTTATTTGGACTCTTTGAACACTTTTATCCTATCCTATTCGGAGCATTGTACTCCTCCCACACTGTATCATCGCAATTGCAGTCATGTGATTTCCGTTTTGCTAAACTGTTTGGCGCGCCCTGTTACCAGAATCCAGACAACCCACGGTCCGATCATCGCCCAATGTCAGACGCTGTGCAACTAAAGTAACGCCAATGGTATCTCGCCTAAAATGGACCATTTATAACTACTCCGGCTAAGTGTCAAGTCAAGCCAAGAAAAGCTTTATGCACCCAAAAGATGAATTTTCAGCAGCTTATGAGTTTTACAGTGGATAGTCAAAATAATTGTAAACAAAAAAGTACAGTATGAGAAATTCTGCACTTTAATAAATGAGAGAAAAAATTTAGGGCAAAAGTTTTTCCATGAGGTGGGTTAGGATATGCTGACGATTTACTAGTAAACGAGCTAGGTAAGGAATTACACTGTTTCGATATGTGGAAGTCCGCG